GTCTTATTTCATTTAACAATATTACATACAGTGCTATCTTCTCCTGGTGGTGAGGTTTTGAACTCTTTATTTTCCCGCGGAAAATAAATTCCCGTAACCTCATTTACACGATTCCCAAGTTTAATAACATTTTTTGGTCTGGTAGTTTACCTTTTATAACCATTTCAAAGTGGAACTTTAATTATATAAACTTTAAAAGTTTGACAGTTTGGTTCAAGTCCCAGCTTTAAATATATATATATATATATATATAAATTTTTATATTAATTCTCTCAGAAAGAATGTTTTAAGAAGCAAAATTTTCTCTTGCGTTATAGATTGTATAAAATAACATGATCTTTAATAAGATTTACATTGTTTCAGCTGATATACGAATCGGGTCACACGGTGGTACAGAATAAACGTTGCTGGACTGTTTTATTTCCTCACAAAGGCATCCCTTCCCTTAGGCAGATAGCCCTATTATGCTTTGTCATAATTCAATACGCCAAAACCTCTTGATGAAACCAGTCTTTCCTTTCATCTCACACTTTCAAAATGCTTAGCCTCTAAAGACTGATGAAGGCTCTGACCAAATACTGATGAAATGGATTGAATTGGATTATTAAAGTTATGGCAAAGCAGGGCTATCTGCCTAAAAGGAAGGATGCCTTCGTGAAGAACTTTCTAAGGGAAACCAGCTGGCATACACGTTACACATGAGAAAATCCACGAAAACACCCATACAACCAGCCCGTTTACCGGGATTTGATCCCCAGAGTGAACTACCAGTGTTCAGCGGCTTTACCACTCAGCCGTTTGTGGGCCTTTATGAAATGGAAGGTAATAACTTTATTTAAAATGATTGTCAGAAATACCAAGATGTTTCGAAAAGTTGGATGCTTTTTAATATACTTGCAGAATGCCTGAAGAAAAAGAGCAAGAATAAAGCAGAATGCCTGAAGAAAAACTAAATTTTTCGTAAAATTTAGTATTTGTATTTTTTTTTTAAATTTAAAACTTTTTTAATCTTATGATATTTGATTCTTGCGATTTCAAAAATAAAATATTTGACTAAAATATGAATAACATTTTAAGAAACGAAATGTAGGATGATAAAATTATGTAAAGCAATGGGCACAATGATAAAACTGTTTAAAGCAGTGTATGCAAGTCATCTTAAAGTTAAAATGTCAGTTATACATTGCTCTTATTTATATATCTTTTCTGAACAGAACATTGAAAGCCGTGTTAAGTACGCTTTACTGTATTTTCTCTTTTAATATATGCAGTTTTCAAATGCATCGTAGTCTGGGTTATAAAGTATTCTTCTGAAAGAAACGCAATTCAAATAAATAAAATCAAATTCTGGAAAATTTATATTAATAAATATATTTAAAATGCTCAGTTCGAATGAATAAATAGAAAATTTTAAAATAATTATCTGAATAGACAATGCAACACTAACAATTAAAATAAAATTCTAAAAATTTAAAAATTACCTAAAATAGTAACTATGACTAAAAATATAGTATAAAGAAAGCTATTTAAAAAAAAATAAACAATGCACCTTTGATTTAAACTATGCAGTTCGAATGAGTAAATAGAAATTTTTAAAACAGTTATTCGAAAGAAACCATGCAACTTAAACAATTAAAATGAAATTCGAAAAAGAAAAAATATTTAAAATAATAACAATTATAATTAAAAATGTAATATAAAGACCATTATCTGAAAAAAAGGAACAATCGTGACTTCCCCCCTCACGCACGAGTTTGAAAGGGAAAGGAAAATAAGTTGTCATATATTAAGAAGTTCGCCAAGTGAACTATTCTTGGCGCAATCTGAAAAGAAAGAGCAAACATTACCTGTTGAATTCCTCCATAAATTTCACACCAAATTTTACAAAATTCAGTATCTAGGCATAATTTGAGTCATAGAATCGAAATATTTAAAAAAAAAAAAAATGGTATGTTATTTCAGAAAAAGTATGATTTCGTGTCAAAATACCTATGTTAGAATAATGTTATATATAAATCTAATATATATCTTAAGTCGCACTTTCGACACATGAAGAATGGAATTTGAATTTCGTGAATCATAGTAGTACCCCAGTAGAATAGGAGATATAGAACTGTCCCATTTTTTTAGCAGTGTACATACTTAAAGAGGTACTTTGGCCAGATATAAGTGATAAGACACCAAATATTGTTTCACTGAACATCACTGACACAGTACCATTTCCCATAATTTTCTGCACAGACTTCTGTCACCCAAAGTTTGAGTATTTTATAAGGCCTTCAATACACTTAATTAAGGTTAAAATTTGGGACTATTCAAGAAATATGCATTCTGCCTACTTACGCAATTAATGCAAAAACATCTTGAAATATAGAGTTCAATTGTAGGGACAGCATTTGATGGTAAAGCAATATTTCTAGCAGTCATGGCAAAAACAGTATGCATAAAGGAACATATATTGAACTATCAAAGAGTGATTTTTTAACATCTCTGAGAATATTTCATGGTTAGAGCAAAGAAATAGTATAAGTAATGGAACAGGCTGCATTAGAACTGTTGTGGTCTGAAGCAATTACCAGAGACAAATCAGTATCAGTTTTTTGGTGGAACATCAGCCCCCCCCCCTTAAAAAAAGGGGGAAGAGCCCAATGTAACTCTTAAAATTCACAAAAGGATGTTTTAGAAGGCAAAAAAAAAAAAAAAAAAATAATAATGCAGGATTCATCCTTCCTGAATGGTTATGCCAGTACCTCTGTAGTACTATAGGTAATTAAGGTATTGCTGAACCTAACTAACCGATAAGCTTCCACCCCAGTACTGAATTCTTAGGCAGAACAGCTGAGAGGTGATGGTTTGAGGGTCTTCCACCCATCTTCCCCCTACCACTAAGCTCAAAAGGATTTGGGCTGGTCATGTATTTTGAGTGCCCTCTTGCTGTAGAGCCAATATTCATTTAGTTTACATGTATCTATGACTTCTCTGGGATATGAACATGAGCTCTTAAGTAAGGCAATCTGCATCAGTGACCACTACCCTGTCTGAGCAGCATATGTCGGATCTGCTGGCAGAAAAATAAGAGTTTTCTTCAGGTACCAAAGATCTAGGAGTGTAATATGAAAAGCCATCAAAGATAAGACTGAAAAAAGACCTGTTAAATATTACAATTCTTTCAAAACCTATCACAAAGGGGGGTTCTACATTTTACAAGTAAATCACAAGTATCATTTTGCAGACCCAGAATATGGGCTACACATCCAAACAACTGAGTGGTTTTAAGGAAAGTCGAGAAGGCACAATGAGAAACACTGGACACCAGCAAGTCATCACATGGAATCTTACCTGGTTGAATTCATGCTGAGAAGAGAAACAAAACTGTTTTAAAACAATGTAAATGATACTAAAAGTTTTCTGTCCTCCTCCCCGAGTTGAAGTAAAAAACAATAGCTTTTGTTCCTTATATTAAAAACACTGCTTTGATGTTTAATATATGATATTATTTCTCATTAAGAGAGTGGTTTCATTTCTGTATCTTAAATGAAATAATTGAATACTTTAACTTCTTCAAATGTGTTTGTAATTTGTCACTTGATGTAGGTGTTTCAATTTTTAACCAATGATGGCATAATGCACCACTGCCAAAGACAAAAGTCTGCAATTGCTAATATTTGCATCTGGTTTAACCCTTAGCACTCCGTTGGCTCCACTACGGGGCCATCCGGCCTTTGTTCCGCAGCTCTGTAGGCTCCGCTACAGAGCCAAATGTTTTTAGTATGATTACGCTAAAGATGCTGTGGTATTACCGGTGTTGGCAATTGTTATCTGTAGTTTAAACATGCTCAGTCTCTGAGTGGTAGTGAAGATGTGTTTGATTTTCAAGTGTTAAAAGATATTGTGAAAGACAATGTTGATTATAATTCTGACACTTCAAGTAGAGGTTCCAAATTATACTACCAAAGAGACAACAAATGAGAATTATTGAAAGTGAAGATGAAGATTTGCAGGAAGACTTCAATGAATGGCGCGATGTCACGGAAGAATTAGATATTCTAGATTTAATACATTTTAGTGTATCGCTAAAATCATTGGACCACAAGTTCCTAGAAATATTGTATGCCTGATACATACATTCTGTATAAAACTGTACAGCACAATAAAAATGAGAAAGCACTGATGCATTTACAGTATCGAAAAATTTTAGTCGATCAACTACTAGGAGATTTTCGTCAGGAGAGAACAAGAGTTTTACATCAATTTCTGAAATCAGACTAAAAGGAAAACTTCATATAATGAGGAAACGTCCAGAATGGGACTGTTGTGTGCTCTGAATGAGGAAACAAAATGATGACAGACGTCAAACAAGTGATTGCTGTGACACTTACCCAAATAAAGCCAGGATGAAAATGGGAGATTTTTTCCAAAGATATCACACCATTATTACTTACAAAATTTAAAATTTAACTTTCATTTGCAAGTAGAAAGTGCATATGAATAAAATTAAAAACATTCACAAGCATGTGTAATTCTTCTCATTTAAAATAAGACTCCATTTCACTCATTCTGCTGCAAAAATGTGCCGGAGTTGCTGGTAGGCAGTGGTACAAAAGTGTGCAGAGTGCTAAGGGTTAAGCATTCTTTAAAGAATGAGTGAAAATATTCTTGAAACATATTTACAAAGATAAAGAAATTATATAAAACTGAAATAAACTTTACTGATTCTGTTGCTTTCTTTCATAAATAGCCTTTTTATTATTTCTAATGATTCAAGCTTTTTTGGAATATTTTTGGAATACATTATAATTATTTAACATATATATTTGTTTTTGTATCTTTTGCTATATTTTCAAGTTGGTTTTCTGCTATGTATAACAGTTTCAGCTCATAATTACTGAATTAACTAGATTTTAATTAACAAAACTCCTCGTAAGAATGGATTCAGAAAAAGTACTAATATCTTTAAACCAACAATATATTACAGTAAGTAGTTGAAGTAAGTCATTTACCTGTATCAAAAGATGTTCCTATACTGCTTGAATATTGCCTTTGTTGTCCCTCTTTCTCATTTGAACTAAGATTAGAATGTATATCAGCTTTCTCATCAAAACTCTGAACTACATCTGTTTCTGAATTAACAGAATGATGCTCATTAGATGTAGAACCATCCTTATTATCTGTGCCAGAATTCGGAGGCAGACGATATCGACGAACTAGTCTTACACGTTTACCAACTGAAGCTTTTGAAGTATTAATAGCACGGTATTTGATTCCATGCTCATGATAGAAATCTAGAAAACATAATTACATCACCTGAAATTAAACTTCCTGAAATTTAAAAGTATTTTGATTTTTAAAAGAATTACACAAAATCACAAAGAATTTGATATCAAAATTTCACAGGTTTCATGGAAATTAATTCCTTAATTCAACTTTTAAAAAGCTAAAATTACTCTATGCAAAAGAGAAATTCCTAGAGTCTGAACTGCCCCTCCTCTTTGTTTCAATATTCAATTCCTTCAGTCATTATTAATTTGAATACGTAGAATAGATAAGCCAAAGATTTTTATTTAAAAACAGACTCAAAACTGATTTGAAAAGAAAACCACAATACACAAAATTTAACCTCCCCCCCCAAAAAAAACTGCTTGAATTAAAAGTCTTGTAATTAAACATAGTGAAAATATCAAAAACGTTTATTTGATTATCTTTTGTATATATATTTTATATGTATATGATCTATCTTCATATGTACATGATGTATCACTTATCTAAGTACCAAATATTAATTAATCAGTGAAGTGGTTAACCTAGGAATCTAATGTAGCAACTTTTCAGAATATAAGTCATTTAAGAGAATTAAAAAATAAAAAGTTTATAATGGAATATTTTCAGAATGCTGAATTAAACAATTTTCTAATACAAAAAAAATGCAAATGTATTACCCCCCTTTTTGAAGCCTTCCCAGACATTTTGGCTAGTTTATATCGATTTCCTTCTCTTTAAGCCTCTTTTCTAACAATTAGAGATTTGTCTCAATATGCAAACCAGTGCTCTCGCTAGCTTCTGCGTGCTTTATCTCCTAAGTTGTCAACCTCTCCACAATGTACCTATGAGGGTTTAACTGATCTGGTAAAAGTCCAAAACCCGCCGACAGACGTGAAGCATATTATCGCTATGTCTGAAATTAACTAGAATATCAGACAAAGGTTTAAATACGGTTCTTATTTAAAAAGAACTTAGAACATAAAGGCATTTTCTAATGCTAACAAACTCAATTACAGCTCACGGTGATGTAATTAAACAAGAACAGTCAAATTCAACCTAATAATGTGGACTAGTGGTCAAAGATTATACAATTTAATTAAAATTTAATCTGGCTCAATAACTCTCACATGAGGAAATAGAAATGGGAAATTATAGTAAAGGCTGAAATCCTAAATTAACTGCACATATCTTTGAAAAATAATTTTCTTTATGTATTCAGTTTCTTTCTTAAACACATTTCTTTTACATTTTAGAATTTTTGGATTTAATTAAGGATATCTCTTATTCTCAAAAACGCTAAGTGCATTTACAATGTACAGAAAAAGTGGCTAATTTTGTTTCTTTAGTAATATGAACATTCAGAAGAAATATGAAATATATACAGTAAAGGCCGGGTACAGAAATGATGTGGCAGAATTTCTAGAATTTAGTGACACACCGAATAACAAAATCTAGAAATGGCAAAACTTTTAGAATTTAGAGCAGGCATTGGAAGCAGAATTTAGAAAGGCACTAGGCAGCGGAATTTAGGATCCACAGAGATTGCATCAGATGGCATTTTTGTGGCATAGAAGCATTTTTGATATTTTCCAAGCTTGTGTCTAGATAAAAGTAGAGAAAATAAACATGTTAAGATTCTAGTATCAGGGGTAAAACATTCAAATATTATGATTTCATTGTTCTTCCAGATATTCTCTAAAAAGTAAGAAATTCATTGCAAACTTTCTGTAAAATACATCCATTACGTGTTGATACCATTGAGACATTTTTCGTTTTGTCACATATTTCTCGAATCTTCTAGAATCATAGGTCTATAAAGCTTGCCTTCAAATCCTTCTAAACTTTCAAAGCTGCAATGTCTGAAATCCTAAAGAAAAATTATCCCTACCATTTCTGTAACAGCAAAAAGGCAGAAATATTTTGCAGGAGGGAAAAAAAAAAAAAAAAAAAAAAAAAAAGAGAGAGGAAAAAAAGTATAAAATTAACTTTATAGAGAAAACTGATGCACATTCTGAGACAACTACATGGGGAAAACTCTTACTATGAAAAAATTAAAACAAGACATTTTTGAATTAATTACATAGCTAATTTTGCTTTTGCTAAGGGCTGTTTCATAAATTGTGCTTTATAGCATTATACCTTGTTTATTTTTCAGATTCAAAATATTGTGTAATAAGTTGCCAAAATGAAACCTTATAATATGACAGCGAAAAATGTTTTATTTTAATGTTATTTTTTAAATATAATTTCAATATATTTCCATTATTTTAATAGAGTTTATCAATGTTCCGATGTTTTTAAAAAAAAAATCGTTGAAAATTTCTCAGATCTCGGAATTAAAAGGTTTTGATAGAAACCAATCTTAAAATCAACAAAATGTTGAAAAGTCGCCAAATTTAGAACCATTTAATAAAAGAATTCACATCCCCAAAAGTGAAAAGTTGTTTAAGAGCTCTTTATTAGAAAAAATGAATTTGAAAATGCTTATGTTCTTGCTAAGAAACCATCATTTATATTAGAAAGTATACCACCATTTATATTAGAAATAAAAACAAATTATAACTCATGAACCCATTCAAAAGATAACCATATATATGGCAGTGAATCGCCGAAAATATTCCTTAAAAATGCTAATTCACACTCAAAATGGCAATCGTAAAAACAGACAGAAATTTCCGATGATTAAAATTAAGGACCTTCTGCTGATATTGGCCAAAATTTAAGGACTTTTAAGGACCAAAAATCGATTCAAAAAAATCTAAGCACTTTTAAGGACTCTTAAGAACCCTGTTATATTGTTCCAATAATTTATTATTTAAATTACTCTTTTGAGAGACAGAAATTAATTTTATTGAGGACCGATCTAAATTTATTTCATTTAGATCAAAGTCATTTTCTACCAAATATTGTATCCAGGTTTTCTTTAACAATGTAAAGGTTTAAGTTTTTATTTTGACCTTTATATTTTACCTTAACTGTAGTAAATCCTAAAGTTTTTATACATTATATGTTTTAAATAAATACCAGACTTGTATTTTTAATTTTTTTCGAAATTTGCTGGAAATTTTTTATAAACTCTACCGATACTGCACCCCCTGTATCCAGTTCCATAGCTACCGGTTTTCCTTCCATGTTCACTTGGACCATTATGGGTGGTTTTCTATTTTTCACCTCACTGGAATGTATGCTGTTTGTAGGAACTGTGTTTTCATTTCCTACATCTAATTGTTTTTGTTTCGCTTTCATTTTTTCAGCATTTTTAGTGTTGGAGCATGCTCTTTCAATGTGCCCGATTTTCTTACAAAATCTGCAGATACTTGTCTTAAATTTACAAGAATTTCTATCATGGTCAGTCCCCGTACATCGCGAACACATTTTGCCTTTAGCACTCTAAGCTGAGAAGTTTTGTTTTTCAAACTTTTGTTCTGGAGCGACTGAGTTAGATTTACGTTTATTCCTGGCACTATATTCCTTAATTTCAACTTCTTTCCCAATTATTTCATTTGCACCTTTTAATGCCCTTTTCCATTGCCAAAGCTATTTTTAAAGCATCATCTAAACTGATATCCTGCTAAAAAATTCTATCCAGAATAGCCCTATCTCTTAGCCCACTAACAAATACATCCCGCAACATTGTATTTAACATATTCTGATCGTAAGCGCACAGTATGGTAAATGACCTTACTTCTGACATATACCCACTAATTGTTTCTCCCCTCGTGCTTCTTTAAATTTAAAAATACATATCTGCTAGTAATTATAAGTGGCTTAAGATTTAAACAATTTCTCAACGTTGTTTTTAACAATTCATAATCTTTATCGAAAGGATTATCAGAAGCCAGAAAGTTTTTAAGAGACTATACATTTTTCCGGACAAACTAGAAATCAGTACTTTCCCACGCTTGTCCTGTGAAACATTTTGTATATTTAAATAACTTTCGAATCACTCTAGAAACAAATTAAATTGTTCTTCATGTTCATTGTACTTTTCAAACTGAACCAAAAGTTTCGAATTGTCCATTTGTGGAGTAATAACTGAAGTAACAAGCTGCTCCATGATCTTCCAAAGGAAAATTGATCGTAAAAGCTTTACCTTGTGCAGTCTTCGGGCAATCCCTTAATCCTTATTCCGACTGCATTATGCACTTTATTATTACCATAAAACCCAACATCCATCATCGCCAGCTGCCGTGTATCCTTTCCTGGGTAATTATTTCACAAGGCACACTCTTTTACTCTATATGCTACTTTATTATATGTACAAAATATATTATCACTTGCGTACACACTTATATCTACAGCTACTACAAAGGGTACGAGGGCAATCCCAAAAAAAAGGTCTCCTACTTTTTGGGGACGTAGAGAAAGTTTTAATACAGTTGTTGGCAACACTGTTGTGAGTGGTGCCTTCTCCGCTACCACATAAGCACGCAGGCGCTTCGCTCGGATGCTCAGTCTTGGCTTGGCAGCCATTCGAAATGGAGCTCCCGATAAACATTACCGCCAAGTGCAAAGTGCGCGCAGTTATTCAATTTTTGAACGCAAAAGGCGTTAAACCGGTTGAAATTCACCACCTATTGACAGAAGTGTATGGACAGTCGTGCATGGATGTCAAAAACGTTCACAAGTGGTATAGAGAGTTTACAGCCGGTCGTACTGAAATTCATGACGAAGAAAGGAGCGGGAGGCCGTCAATTGCCGACGAGACATGTTGAGTTCGTATTCATTGAGTTTCGCGATTGTTGAGTTCGTAAAATGCGTAAAGATCGGAGGATCATCTGGATGCTCCTGAAGCTCCTCAACACATCCTGAAGGGCATGGCGGCAAGCTGGTATGACATGGGCATTGTAAAACTGCCACAGCGTCTACAAAAATGCATCGACCGAAATGGCGATCATGTTGAAAAATAAATCATTCTGCAATCTTTAAAGTGATGTAGCAATTATAGAAAATAAACGGTTCTTTGTATATCTAAAAATCTAGGAGACCTTTTTTTTTTTGGGATTGCCCTCGTATTAATACATTAAAATTATGAAAATACATCTTTCTTGTGGCAATTTTTGGAAATTTAGGCTTTCTTAGTGAAACCCTGTGCTAGGTACAGTTACCGTATGAATATATAAAAAGAAAGATAAAAGCATATAAAAATTATTTTCCACTCTTTTCAAGCATCTGTTTTATAGCAGTTTTGTTTTAAAATTTTACAATGCCTTTGTTTTGAAGGGGTTTCAAGGGGTTAACCCAAAACAAAATGTTTACTTTCTAATTACTTGCAGCATTTTTGTTGATCTAAATTCATTTTTATTTTCATCATTATTCCTAAAAGGAAAATTGTAAGCTTATTTAGAACTCACTATTCTGATACGATAAAAAAGAATTTCGTTCAGATCATAATAAATGTTTCAAATTACAACTACTGCAATCTTCAATGAAAATAGCAATTGGTCACGTTGGATGACTTCAAGGAAATTATTTATTTGGCAGTTGTTATAAAATCAAATACAATGGTGTGCAAAAATTAAGGATGAAGTTGAAAAATTTGCTTATTAGTGGAACAAAGAGCCAGAGTAGACTGAAAGACCAACCCGGAGATCGAGTAGAGTCAGGTACGGTAGCACGTGTGCATATATGCAGCTAGATGTAATGGGGCAGTGTCAGAGGGGTATAAAGATCACTGGCTGCGTGAGCTCAGCATTTCTGAGAAGCTATTGCATGGCATACATCAGTTTAAATGAAATTGAGTTGCAGTCTCAGTGCGAAATGTGAACAATCAATCTGTTCGATGATATCTGGATGATTTTACTGAGGTCAAATAATTGGAAAGATTGTGGAAGGTTGAAGTGTGACAAGAGTGGCTGCGGAGTTTGAGATTGCTTGCAGCATTGTTTCATGACTCTGGAGATCATTTCAAACTATAGGATCAATCTGATGGTTCAGCAGTGGTTGTCCAAGAGTAACCACGGCAATGGATGACCGGTATATTGATCTACAGGCAAGAAGCAACAGGTGGCAGACAGCAGGAGAAATCTCAAGAACCATGGAACAAATGATTGGATGATCGATATTGTGTTTTACCACTGCCAGGAGGATGCACACTGGTGATCTGTTTGCATGACGACATGCACGGTGTATACCATTAAGGCCTGCTTATCGAAGGTGTTTTCTGTGGTGTAGGAAACAGCAGAATTGGATAGATAATCAATGGGGGTCAGGTACCCTTTCCGAATGACAGCAAATTTAGTCTAAGTAGTGATTCTATATGAATACACATCTAGAGAGAGCGGGGAGCATGCAATAACTCCTCCAACATCATCAAAAGGGACCAGTTTGAAGAGAGAGTTCTCGTTTGGGGAAGCATCATGCTTGATAGCCATACCAACCTTCACATCTTCCAAGTAGGTTCAGCCAAAGAGACCTGCTATTGCAACAAGATTCCCCTTTCTTACTTGCATTTTTCAGAGGTGCTATGGGACCTCAGTTCCTCTTTATGGATGATAACCCTCCACCTCAATGCACACATGCTGTTGAACAGCTATTGCAGAGTGGATACTGAACACATGGATTAGCCGGAAAGGTTTCCGGATCTAAATGCCATCCTGCATATATCGGACTTTCTATGGAGATGCATGGTAGCACGTAACTTATTGCCAGCAGTGAAGCTAGAGCTGTGATTGGCACTACAAGAGAAATGGGCAGCATTGCCTCATTCAATAAAGTTCCTTTTTAATCTTTTTTATTTCTTTTGCTGGGAAGTTTCACTTGCGTTACTGATGTTCTTATGTCTTGTGGATCTTACAATATTATTTGTGTTGATTTGAAAAGCTTTTGCACAACACTGAATTGAAAAAAAGCCATCTCGTCCTTAATTTTTGCACACCAGTGTATGGTAGTTTGAAATGAAATTTATTCCCACAATCATTAAAGCCAACTCCATAACCCCAAATGAAACACACTTTTCCCACAGGCCCACCAGCGGACGAGCTGTAACTTTGCTGAACACTGGTAGTTCGGTCCGAGGTTCAAGTCCCGCGAACGGGCTGGCTGCATGTGCGTTTTCGTTTACTTCCCCATGTGTAACGTGTATACGAGCCAGTTTCCCTTAAAAAGTCCTCCACGAAGGCATCCCTTCCTTCAGGCAGATAGCCCTCAAGTGCTTTGCCGCAATCTAATAAAACCAAACCAAACTTTTTCCACAATCATGTAATACCATTATTTTAATTCAGCCCCTCCAGTATAATACATGAAAATACCTCCCACAAAAATTATTTTGTTTTATCCTGATGCACATCTCATTTTTAATTCAAAATTTAGGAAATTTTGTCATCTTCATAATTGTGAACTCTACTGTTCATGTCTGTGGGGTTTACGTCTGTGGATTTTAGGTCTACACATTTTCATTCTTGTACTACATTTCCTGTTCAAACCACACTTTTTATATAGCATTATCATAATTATTCTCAAATTCATCATTATTATAACTGATATGTGAGATGATTAGATATTTCATAAACATTTATATTAACACTATAAAGAAATAAAATATAACTAATTTCATATTACTCTTTTTTTTCCTTTAAATACATAAATGTATCTTATTTTTTTTAAAACGTCACACAAGATTTTCAACTTGAATCTGACTACAAAATTTGCAAAACTGCTATACTGAAACAAATCCACCTTAAACAACCAGATGCATTTACTAACTTATCCCAAATTGCAAACTGTATAGGATATAAAAATACCTACCTCAAATAGAAATGACTCAATTTGACTTAAAACAGAAATTACTCAGTGTGACTTAAAAATACAAAAAAGATGCTAGAAGCAGGAGAAGGTATTTTTAATATGTCATGTAGGTTTAATTACAATGCCTAAAAAGAATACTGACTTTTTTTACTGTGTTCCACTTGTGCATTGTGTATTCAAACTTTAAAATAATTTAACTTCCCATAAAATTTCTCCAATTAAAAAAGTAATAAGAAGAAGATCCAGAAAGACAACTGCTTTTTATTATCATGCTTTAAGTAATAGCAAATACGTAAATACTAAAGTTTTATTTATATCAATTAAATTTAAAAATACTCACATTTTCCGTAACACAATCTCTTTTTGGCAGATTCAGACATGTCTGATGAATCTCCATTTCTTTTGGAAGAGGATAATCTCTTATGTTTAGGCAGCTGAGATGACTGTGAAAGCATTAGAGAAGGCTTCTTCGGTGTATCCCCACCAGCATGAAAAGAAAAGGATTTACCCTCAGGTGGAATAGAACTTTCAGGATGATCTGAATAGGTCTGAGAAAATGTTTTCTCTCTGCTTTGTTGATTTGAATCAGAGGAAACACAAGAAGTATTCTCTACAAAATCTCCAATATTCTTCAAAGGAATTCTAACTACCAGATTATCTTCAGAATGGCTAGGTGAATCACTAAGAGCTTCAGTTGGACTATTTGTAGAATCTTCATTACTCTTTAGCATTTTATCACCAGATTCCTCAGATGCTTCCGAGGCAGTTTCAAATTTATCGCCACTGTGCTCAGAAACTGCCTTATCCACACAATGATCAGGAGAACTTGGTAATGGATCCTCTGAATTGTCTGAAGTATGAACATCATTATTACTAGAAGCCTGTTTATCATCAGTTTTCTTAACAGTACCGAGATTCACTTCCTCAGTAGTTTCACTTTTAGTTTGACTGCCAGCTGGAGATGAAAGTGTTTCTAAAATAGAATAAAAATTTAAATAATTAACTCATTATGTTACATTATATAATATAATAATGACTTCATCTGAATGCATGAGAACATCTTTGTCTTGTTAAATTACTTCAATGCCAGACAGTGCAAATTTGTGTATAGAGTTATTACAAAATAAAACTCAAATATTTCAATTTTTATTAAAAGAAATTTATAGCACTTTCAAATATTTAAAAAAGTTTAGTGATGATAATGTATGCAGGCGAGATTCATTTCAGTGGCAAATTTCAATAAATACAACAGGTCACTTTCAGATATGCTCACTAATGGATGGTTTTGCCTTATTGAGAGAATACAACTAACATAAAAGCAATGGCAGCACTGTATTTATACTATATAAAATTTCAAGAAATTGAAAGTATGTAATATTACAAGAATTTGAAGAATCAAATCTAAATCACTGCAGTTTTACGCAAACACTCACTGAAAATAGGCTTTGGTAAATAGCATAAATAAGTCACCTGCCATCTGATGTTTGGCAGACATTAGAATTGTATTTTACATATGTATAATTTTTCAGCTTTTATAAAAATTTTCTAGATGCTCCCAGAAAAGCATGTACAATTAATTTCGACTTTTAAAATCTACTTGACAAAATTTAGATTTTCTACATTACCTCATTCTAGTCTTAAATTTAAAACAATATAGCCAGAGTATTATAATAAATTCATTGTTTTTATCAGGTGAATTATTTGACAAACTTCACTATTAAACTTGCTGATGTCAAAAAATTACTTTACCGCCATATTCTACTTCTACTAACAGAACTCTGCAATGATCATTATTTATTTTATTTAAATAAGCTAAACCAGACATTGACAACCTATGGCATGCAGCACAATTCTCAATGGCACTTTATGTCAATCTACAAGGTTATCAGGCAAAGGTAAATTGCCCTGTTTCTCATCTCTGCATCGTCAGGAAAGTTTAGTAGCCAAATTTCATCACAGTGCCTAATTTTTACAATGAACACTGTTGTCTAAATAGTTAGTTTCATAGTGACTCAATCTTTATTGGTACACAGGCAATTTAAATCTCTTTTAGAAGAAATGGAAAGCAAATGTGTGGATCTCTTATACAGCCATGTCCACTTTCATACTTAAGTTAATGTCTTATATAAGTTAGTGTTATGCATGGAACACATTAAAGTTTTTCTTAATGAGAAGAATCAACATTTCCCCAAATTGAACGATAAAACATAGTTATGGAAATTGATGTATCTGACAAATATAAATAAACATCTCAGTGAACTAAGGATTGCAAGGAAAGGGCAAACACTGTTCAAACTTTTTTAATACTGGAAAAGCTTTACTATAAAATTAAATATATTTTTTCATGATATTAACACCAGTATCTATATGTACTTCCCAAATGTAAAGCGTTTGCAAATGCATTGACCTTGGACAAAGATGAACTTCAAATCTATGTTGAAGTACTTAAGGAGGAATTTTCCAAAAATTGCAAAGACCTTTGAAGCTTGTGTGTCTATATTTTCCTTCCTAATTGAACTAGATTTAATAGACCCAATAATAATCCGATCCAGTTTGTCAATTTTTGAGCGAATGGAAGTTGAAATCTGTATTTCTTTTCAAACGGAACTTAAAGAGCTAACATCTTCAGAATTAAGTGAAGCAAAAATTTATGGAATTACAAAAAAAATTTGGAAGATAACTCTAATGATAAATCGACAGCTATTTTAAATTGCTGGATGTCGATGCCAGATTTAGCTGTTTGAAGAAAAGCATGTGCTTCTTTTTCCACTTTTGATTCCCCAAAGAAGTTGTTTTATAACTGAATATTCAGAATTATGCTCCAAATTGAAAGCCACAAATTATACTTCTGATACTGCAATATTAAGCAGTTACAGGGACAAGGTTTGCATTAAAATTAAAATTTTTTATTTAACTATACTAAAAAAATACTTATATTTTATGTCACTTATTTTTATTTTAATAAATACGTTTAAAAGATATATAAATACATAATGTATGTACAATTTAAATTTTTTTATTTACGTTGAAGGAATAGTTATATTATATGTTGTTTATTTTTATGTAAATAAATATTTTTAATTGATGCATAATTAATATATAACAAAATCTGTATTCTAAACCTAATAGTTCTAAATCTGTATTCTTGTTGTCTATTCCCTAACTCTGCATGCATTGCAGTCAGATTCGAATTGTTTCAAACATTTCCTACTGTGCACCATCCTGAATCACACTGGTAAACTGGTTTGGCACACCACAGCTACAAGGTTGCCGACCCGAGCTAGACTCTTCATTAATTCTAAGGCATAAAGACTAACTGTTTCAGTTACCTGAAATTCAAATTATTGAAACTATCATACAAAGTTAACTTTAAAAAATGGAAAAAGAAACTAAACAAAAACTGAAAACCAATGAAAACAAATTGAGAAACTCCAAAACTCAAAAGACTGGACTGAATTACTTGGATGCACAATAGCTATTGTCCAACCACATTATAGCTACTGTCTACGCATAAAGATGCCTTTGTAGATGACTTTGCCCAGGAAACTGAATTCATATTAAAACCACAAAAACACCCATGCAGCCAGCTAATCTGTAAGGATTCAAACTAGCAGTGTTCACCAGTATTACCATTCAGCTGCTGGCGAATTAGCAATTCAGAAAGAAAAAAAAGTAAAAGTTTTATATATTTAATACTGTATCTCCAAAAGTTGTACAGTATACTTTTAAATGCAACACAGATAATATTTTTAATAGCAAAGATTATCAAAAAAGAAGTAATCTATAGCTGTCTGCATACTCCTATTAATTTTAGATATTCAGGTAGTTGTTTTTAATTTCTAATATCTATTGTAAGTCTTTGATAAAGGTTGAATAAGAATAAATGCATAACCTAAATCAACTGCACAGCCAACATTTCAGTCACACAACAGCTGCTTCAGAAGTGCAAAGTAATTCTTCGATTTTACATTGTTTTACCATATTCCATCAATAGTCTTAATATTTTCTTCAATACTCGCCCGCCCACTAACTTCAAATCATTACCAACTGAGATATATTCTTAAAATGTTACTTTATCACATTTGATTTTTTTTACAATAATTTATGAATTTATTTTTTTCAATTTTTTATAGAATTTTCAATCTTCATAGCCATGTAATACATGGGTAGAGAGATATATACAACTTGAGCTTAGTAACTGTCTACTGATAATACATGCATCATACAGATAGATCTGCATGCATCAACGTTCATCCTTCTCATCATTTCATGTAATTTGGACAGTACGAAACATTTATACAATGTATGAAGTATCAGAGGTGAAAATACCCACTTTCAAACTAGCAATTCCAAAGCTATAACAAAATTCATAACATTATAAAATCATTGTATGGCGAATCTACCTCCCAACATCACTATGACCTTAAGTTATATCACCATTTCACCTGATAAAAGACATATACGTGAGAAACTGAAAAATGAAGTCATCGCTTGATGTGGTTAAATTAAGTCAGGAAATATGACTCTTATGGATTAAGCAGTGAGGTTCACAGAATCATAATGTGGCAGGCATATTTAACTTGAAATTATTTCTACAAAAATTACCTAAGAATGTGCAGTCTATTTTGGCATCAATCACCCCTCTAAGCACACAAAAGGGTGTTGAAACAGTGGATAAAATATAGGAAGTGTCATGCGCCCAGGTAAGCACAGTTTTTGATTATTATGCATCAACCAGTATTATGCCAAGCTCTGATCTACTTAAACAAATAAAATCACTTTGAAAGGCAGTTGCACTTTTACACTGTTCGAGAAGTCATTCTCATAATCATAATTTTGGCCATACCAATAACTGTGAGAAATCATCCGAGAAATGTGATTTATGCTGGTACCACCACAAATTTACTTCTAAAGCCAAGAAGTATATTCCACCCTGCAGTTTTCAGGTAAATTTCCAGGGTAAGGAGTAGCAGCAACACACACCTTGCCTTCTAATATTTGTCACCTATTTGTTTGTGATCACAAAATCAGCGTTAACTTTTTAATTGATATAGATAGTGATTGTTCCTTAATCTCAGCCTACAGATCTGATAAACTAACTACTCGTCTCAAACTTTTCTAGTACACTGACTACCAATAAGTATTTGGAAACCTATGCAAATGACGATATCTGCGGTCCTAAGGTACATCATGGACTCCCAGTGTATATCGTGTAGGAAACAGCATCGGCTTTAGTCGCATGCAAGATGCCTTGCAGTTTGGAGCTCTCTGATTTCGAGAAAGGTATAATTATCGGGTATCACAAATGTGGCCGATCCTTAAGGGACATATCTAGCGATCTGAAGTACCCAAAATCGACAGTGGCCTATGCGATTAAGGAGTGGAAGGTGAGCGGTGATTGTCGGAATGTGCCCCGAGTCGGCAGACCAACGAAACTGGGAGATAGAGACCGATGAGTGCTGTCCAGAGAAATTCGGAAACCGCACCCAGCCAATGGCCCTCATCCGCGAGGAGTTTCAACAGGCATCCAGGAGTATTGTTTCAATGAATACCATCCGTAAGGAAGCACATCTGGTTGGTTTTCATGGTCGTGCTGCTGCCTATAAGCCTTTGATCACAAAGTCCAACCGCGCTGCTTGGTTAATGTGGTGCAAAGCACATCGAAATTGGACCGTAGATCAGTGGAAACGGGTTCTTTTTGGAGTGAGGAATCAAGGTTCACCCTTTACCGTTCAGATGGCAGGGTCTGGGTCTGGCGTCTACCTGGAGAATGTCTCTTGCCAGAATGCATTGTGCCAACAGTCAAGTTTGGCGGAGGTGGAATTATGGTCTGGGGGTGTTTCTCCTGGTATGGGCTGGGACCCTTGGTCCCCATTCATGGTAAGCTCAACTCCGATGCCTACTGCACTATTTTGGATGACGATGTGCTTCCTACGTTGCGGCAGTTTTACGGGTTGCACCTGTTACTTTCAG